ACAAGCCCGGAGCTCCCGGAATGGGTTAGGAGTCCTGTCTCACGCATTTAGAGAGTACCTCACTTTACACATGTAAGTTACCTACACCGCTTGTGACTACTCACTAAAGGGCACGGGCTCTGTTAGATTCTAAGGGGTCGGCTCACGCTTTCTGTAAAGGGCCAGATGTGAGTATTCTAGGGTCTGCCAGGTGTCGGGGTGCCTCACATCTGCTCAGCCCACCTGAACCTGGGAAGCAGCTGCAGCAACATGATGACCAGCGAGTGGGCCACATTCCAATAAAACTTTATTCACAAAACAGGCCCTTGGCCAGCCCTTGGTGGCCAGCCTCTGGACTGAAAGCTCCATTCTCTGGTGTTAATTTTCCTGCATTTGGGCACCAGAACAGCATGTGATGTTTCCTACATACTTCCCGAATAAATGAGCTGTTATTATTGATGATTAAATATAACTTAAGCAAGAACACGTTCCCCAAGCTGTGAAGCCCACAGACAGCAGTCAGGGGTCTACAGGACTCTTCTCTCACTCTTCACTCTTTCTGTCTTCTCCATCTCATCAGATGCCCCCACAGTTCACCTTCTCTCCTCTCCAGCTCATCAGACACCCCACGGTTCACCCTCTCTCCTCTCCATCCCATCAGATGCCCCCATAGTTCACCCCTCTCTCCTCTCCATCCCAGAAGGTGCCCCCACAGATCACCCTCTCTCCTCCCCATCCCATCAGACGCCACACAGTTCGCCCTCTCTCCTCTCCATCCCATCAGACACCCCCACAGTTCACCCTCTCTCCTCTCCATCCCATCAGACACCCCCACAGTTCACCCTCTCTCCTCTCCATCCCATCAGACACCCCACAGTTCACCCTCTCTCCTCTCCATCCCATCAGACACCCCCACAGTTCACCCTCTCTCCTCTCCATCCCATCAGATGCCCCCATAGTTCACCCCTCTCTCCTCTCCATCCCAGAAGGTGCCCCCACAGATCACCCTCTCTCCTCCCCATCCCATCAGATGCCACACAGTTCGCCCTCTCTCCTCTCCATCCCATCAGACACCCCCACAGTTCACCCTCTCTCCTCTCCATCCCATCAGACACCCCCACAGTTCACCCTCTCTCCTCTCCATCCCATCAGACACCCCCACAGTTCACCCTCTCTCCTCTCCATCCCATCAGACACCCCACAGTTCACCCTCTCTCCTCTCCATCCCATCAGACACCCCCACAGTTCACCCCTCTCCTCTTCATCCCATCAGACACCTCCACAGTTCACCTCTCTCTCCTCTCCATCTCATGACACCCCACAGTTCACCCTCTCTCCTCTCCATCCCAGCAGACACCCCCACAGTTCACCCCTCTCCTCTTCATCCCATCAGACACCTCCACAGTTCACCTCTCTCTCCTCTCCATCTCATGACACCCCACAGTTCACCCTCTCTCCTCTCCATCCCAGCAGACGCCTCCACAGCCAGCCTCTTGGGCATTATGGCGTCTGCACCCGTACTGTGGTGAACATGTGAAATCCAACTGAGCCTTCTCCAAGCTTAGGTGGGAATGGTCAATTCAGAAATCAATTCTAAAACTAAGATAAATGAGGAATTGGATTAGGAGAACATGTTTGGATATGAATATTCACCTGCTACACATTAAAAATGCAGATATTTAAATGTGCCCAGATGGAAAGGACCCCAGGAGTGAACGTTACGAAAGGGCTGTGCGTAATGGAACAGGATGCAGAGACGACATCACGGTGCCAGCCACAGTCATGGGTGGTGCTGGGAGTTCACGTGGGTGAAACCCAAGTCGTTCCCAGCACAGTTAACACGACTCTGGAGGCCAGGAGAATGAAGACAGCACATGGATGTGTATGTGCCTCCTCAGTCTTGTCTTTCCTGTTTCATCTGAGGTCCCTGTGATGTGCTTCTGACATCTCCACTGTTAAAATCCTTCAAGGAAATTTTGTCCACACTCACTACAACTTAGTGTGCCCTTGTTTCCTGGAAACACAGGGTTACAGAGTGGCAACTATGGGAGTTCTCCCAGTCCTGGCCGTTTTCTTCCTTTTTCTCCTCTCCCCATAGTATCTACTCTGGCCTCAGCCACTGCCCTCCACAGAGCAGTGCCACGGGGTGAAGGCCACGGGGCTTGGGGCTGAGTTACCTTCAGCTGAGAGCCTTGGTGGCTTGTGCAGCCTCCAGCACCTCACCTCCCTGAGCCATGTTTCTGTCCACAAAACAGGCATCATCAGAGCTTCCCTGAGTTCCGTAGCTGAGCTTCGGCAATGCCATTGAAAATGGGTAAATGAATTACATTGGAATCCATAAAACGTAAAGGAATATAAGATAAACTAAGGTGCTAACAGGCAATAGCAAAAATGTGGTGATACCTCCTGGTAACAAATTTTTTTTTTTTTTTCAGAAATTTTCATTACATTAACCCCAAAGAGTGACCCATGGGAGTTTCGGGGACTTTCAGGTTAGTTCCCGGCAGGCAGGGTGTGGTCTAGACCCATCACACAGCTGCTGTCTGCGTTTTGTCATCCACACCACGGTGTCAGATTTAAGGAAAAAGAATGATTGGGGCACGCATAAATCGAGTTTGGCAGAATGCCTGACATTTGTTGGACTGATCAATGAAGCAATAAATCCTGGATAAATGGAAGAATGGACCCAACTGTTGCACCATCTCTGCTGAGCGGACAGCGGCATGGGGGCCACAGGCAGAGTCGGACCTGTGTCTGCCGAGTGGACGGCGGCACGGGGGCCACGGGCAGAGTCGGACCTGTGTCTGCCGAGTGGACGGCGGCACGGGGGCCACGGGCAGAGACGGATTTGTGTTTAGAACAGGAGTAACTTAGGCAGCACGTCTCACCCGTTTTCCTCACATCTGATCAGATTTGAGGCTGTGGAATGCTTTCTGGTCAGGTGTTAAGGGTTGTTGGTGGGTGAACTCCCAGAGGGTTTTGCCAGTGTTTAGGTGATGCTGTCAGGGGGCCTCGGGCTCACATCCCTTCGAAAATCCCTGGCTTTTCGAAGAGTTTCAACTACATTGGGTGATGGTGTGAGTTTTGCAAATGTAAAGTTCTGGGAGCGTCCTCTGAACATCGTTAGCACTGGAGCCTCGTACAGGACTCTGGGCCAGTCCCTGATGTGAAGAAAGGAAGGAGACACCGTCTCTGCCACTGAAGAATGAGGTGATAACGATCCTGGGGGACCCGCAGCAGTGATGGTGAATGAGTGGGAGAAGGAACCCATTAACATGAAAATGCCTTTCATAATTTTTAAAATTACGAAATAATTCTTAAAATTCTTAGTTCCTGCCCATGGTCTAAAAAAGACTTTTTTTTTTTCTTCTTTTCACGCTTTGCTTTCAAATGTATAGAATCATGAAGTGAATCACAAACGTTTAAAGTGTGAAGTTATCAATGGCTGTTTAGCTGGGGGTCCAAAACTCCAGGACTGAGGCTGGCCTGGCAGCCCTGGACCCACGAAGCATAGCTTCTGCATGTGTGTGCTTTTCCCCTGGAAGAGGTCTCACATAATTCATAATTCCCCTAATGTCTTTAAGTGCCCCAAATAAAAGGTGGGTGAGAGCCGACATCCAGTCCAATCCTTCACTTGCCTGTTGGAGCAGATGGGTCAGACAACTTGGCTCTGCTCCCAGCTCCGTCCAGCTCCCCAGCCCCTTCCTGGTAATCATGTTTCCTGGTTGTTTCCTGGCTTACAAACACCTCCTCCCCATTTCCTTCCAACGAGTCTAAGAGCTTCCCCAGGGTAAGACTTTGGCTTTGTTCTCAGCCACTCGTCCCACAAGCTGGCACCGACCACCCTCTGTGGAAGAAGAGGAGATGGATGGGCCTGGGCTGGGCAGACATGGGGCCTGGTCTCAGGGCATGTCTTGTCTGCCATTCCAACACTATAGCGCTTGAATTTAGTTGAACTAGGCAATAATGATAGAGTTCGGATTTGTTAAGTTCTAATTTGTAAGATTTGGTTGCAATTTAAAAGTTCACTTTTTCATCTTGTAAGTCAACAGTAATGAACAACTGGAAACACTGGAAGAGGTCACATGGTCACTGGTTCATCGCTGGGTGCACCTGGCGTGGAGAGAGACGATACAGGGAGGGCCCTGCGGCTCGGGGCTCTGTGTCTGACGTGTGGGTATGATTAATATCTCTTATGTGGCACTGGCCAAGGCTGAGAAGCAGCTCCGCCCTGGCTGTCCACTTGCCCAGGACCACACAGCTGGCCGCGGGAGGCGGGGGGGGCGGGGGGCTTCCAGGCAGTTCTTGGCATTAGCTCCCAAACTAACCTGTGGGACTAGCCGGCCGCGGGAGGCAGTTCTTGGTATTATCACCCGAACTAACCTGTGGGACTCAAGATTCACAGCAGCTGGCTGTTGAGAGTAACAGTCATATTTTCATGGTTCGTAGGAACTGCTGATTTCCCAAAGAGTTTTATCTGTCTATATTTTCAAAATTAAATTTTGGGCAAATATGTAAAGTGTAGGGTTTTATCTTTATAAAGCTAGTCTACTTCCTCCCTCCTCCACAAAAAATTTGTTGCCTAGAAATGCACTTATAAAGTTATAGACAACGACAAAATTCCCTGTTAACGATTTTTACTCACAAAGACATTCAAACACACACCCGTATGCACACATTCATACAAACAGAGACGTGTGCTTGTCCTGAGGATAATTTGAATGATCAGAAAGATACAACAGATCACATTGGCTTTAAAATTTGAAATGGAAGTTGCCCAAGCATACTTCCTTAATTACTATGTGATTAATAAATAGCCAAAGCTCTGGTTGTTCTAAACCAAACCAAACCAAATCAACGAAACAAAAAACTTGAAAATTGATGGCCATGGTGTCTACTATTTCTGGCTTGGGAATTTGGTTTAAATGGATGGCACTCAGCTCACGGCGAAGGGGTTTTGCAGAGGGAGCCCGCGGACAGTGGGAAGCGCTTGGAGTGGGAAGGCAGCTGGCCTCACTTACGTCTGGTGCTCTCCAAGCGGTCTCTGTCCGATGGACTTCAGCAGCGGCTCCGGTCGGATCGCCGACTTTGGTGACGTCTTGGGGCTGGAGTCTGACTCTCCGCTCTCCTCGTCCCCCATGGCTTTAATGTAACTCCCGCTTCTCATTCTCCTGCAGGGAATCTCTTCATCTTTGCCACCGGTGGGGTACCCTCCCCACTCGTCCTGAGGCACCTAGGAGCAGACAGACACGAAACACCCATCAGCTTTGTCACTGAGAACGGTGGCATCAGCTCCTTTTTGGAAACAAATCCTCTACAATTCCATCAAAATATATCTCTTTACGGTCATTTATCGGTTAAAGTCAGATGCAAAAAAATGCATACCCTAAAAGGATATGAACAAAAACATTGGTTTTTCTTCATTATAAGTGATAGGTAAACATATGGATACAGTGAGAACATGTGAGAAAAGTAAGAGAAGAAGGAAACTTGCAATCTCAGCAGCTGGGAGAAAGCACTGGCTAAAATTTAGTTTATTTCCCTCTGGTATAAGAGGAAACTGAAACTTGAGAAACTGAACGAAGAAAAAAAGGAAGAAAAAAAAGAAAACAAGGGAGAAAATGCCTATCTTGTTGTCCATTTATATCTTATTTGCAAGCAAATAAAGGAGGACAGTTTTAACTCCAGAAGCCAAGTTCTATCACACATGCAAATTCTCAGCACTCAGAGTTGCAAAAGGATCTTGTCCAGCCACATCATATGCCAGCTGATATACAACTAAGCACCTGCGCATGGAATATGTCTGCCTATTACAGAACTCAGCACCCGTTCATGTTGTATACCTGTGTGGTAGAGAGCTGAGCGCCCGTTCATGTTGCATATCTGTGTGGTACAGAGCTGAGCACCCATGCATGTTGTATACCTGTGTGGTACAGAGCTGAGCGCCCGTGCATGTTGTATATCTGTGTGGTACAGAGCTGAGCGCCCGTGCATGTTGGATACCTGTGTGGTACAGAGCTGAGCGCCCGTGCATGTTGTATACCTGTGTGGTACAGAGCTGAGCGCCCGTGCATGTTGTATACCTGTGTGGTACAGAGCTGAGCGCCCGTGCATGTTGTATACTGTGTGGTACAGAGCTGAGCGCCCGTGCATGTTGTATACTGTGTGGTACAGAGCTGAGCGCCCGTGCATGTTGTATATCTGTGTGGTACAGAGCTGAGCGCCCGTGCATGTTGGATACCTGTGTGGTACAGAGCTGAGCGCCCGTGCATGTTGTATACCTGTGTGGTACAGAGCTGAGCGCCCGTGCATGTTGTATACTGTGTGGTACAGAGCTGAGCGCCCGTGCATGTTGTATACTGTGTGGTACAGAGCTGAGCGCCCGTGCATGTTGTATACTGTGTGGTACAGAGCTGAGCGCCCGTGCATGTCGTATATCTGTGTGGTACAGAGCTGAGCGCCCGTGCATGTCGGATACCTGTGTGGTACAGAGCTGAGCGCCCGTGCATGTCGGATACCTGTGTGGTACAGAGCTGAGCGCCCGTGCATGTTGTATACTGTGTGGTACAGAGCTGAGCGCCCGTGCATGTTGTATACCTGTGTGGTACAGAGCTGAGCGCCCGTGCATGTTGTATACTGTGTGGTACAGAGCTGAGCGCCCGTGCATGTTGTATACCTGTGTGGTACAGAGCTGAGCGCCCGTGCATGTTGTATACTGTGTGGTACAGAGCTGAGCGCCCGTGCATGTTGTATACTGTGTGGTACAGAGCTGAGCGCCCGTGCATGTTGTATACCTGTGTGGTACAGAGCTGAGCGCCCGTGCATGTTGTATACCTGTGTGGTACAGAGCTGAGCGCCCGTGCATGTTGTATACCTGTGTGGTACAGAGCTGAGCGCCCGTGCATGTTGTATACCTGTGTGGTACAGAGCTGAGCGCCCGTGCATGTTGCATACCTGTGTGGTACAGAGCTGAGCGCCCGTGCATGTTGGATACCTGTGTGGTACAGAGCTGAGCGCCCGTGCATGTTACATACCTGTGTGGTACAGAGCTGAGCGCCCGTGCATGTTGGATACCTGTGTGGTACACAGCTGAGCACCTGTGCGTGTTACATACCTGTGTGGTACACAGCTGAGCACCTGTGCGTGTTACATACCTGTGTGGTACACAGCTGAGCACCTGTGCGTGTTACATACCTGTGTGGTACACAGCTGAGCACCTGTGCGTGTTACATACCTGTGTGGTACACAGCTGAGCACCTGTGCGTGTTACATACCTGTGTGGTACACAGCTGAGCACCTGTGCGTGTTACATACCTGTGTGGTACACAGCTGAGCACCTGTGCGTGTTACATACCTGTGTGGTACACAGCTGAGCACCTGTGCGTGTTACATACCTGTGTGGTACACAGCTGAGCACCTGTGCGTGTTACATACCTGTGTGGTACACAGCTGAGCACCTGTGCGTGTTATACCTCTGCCTGGTACGGAGCTGAGCACCTGTGCGTGTTATACATCTGCCTGGTACGGAGCTGAGCACCCGTTCATGTTATCTATCTGTGTGGTACACAGTTGAGCATGTTATATGCCCACCTGGTGCAGACTTGAGCAACCACGAATGTTGTATATCTGTGTGGTATAGAACTCAGCACCCGTTCATGTTATATATCTGCATGGTACCAAACTGAGCAACTGTGCATGTTACACATCTGCCTGGCACAGAGGTGAGCATCTATGCCATTATATATCTGCCTGGCACAGAGGTGAGCACCTATGCCATTATATATCTGCCTGGCACAGAACTGGGCCCACATACATGCTATATACCTGCCTTGCACACAGCTGAGAGCCCACACGTATAATATGTCCACCTGGTTCAGAGCTGGGCATGTGCACGTTACATGCCCGCCTGGCACACCATCGGGCACCGGCACTATATGCTCTGCCTTGTTCGGAGCTGGACGGGTGTGCATATTTTATCCTGCCAGGCGTGGGGTTGAGCAGCCCCCTGTGCTGTGTATCTGACTGGCCCAGAACCGAACCCGCGTGCATTTTATATCTCACCCACAACGGCCCCACAGGCTGCCTGCTGTGTGTTTGTGTTAAGTGTCTCTCTGAGGGGAGGGTAAGCCATGAAGACGACAACGCGGGCCAATATTCTGTTTCCATCCACCATCTGTGAAACTGGAAACCCGACGCGGCAATGAGCAAAACGTCACGGAACTGGAGCGCGGTGGTTTGCGCCGCGGGAGCTGCTCTGTGCGGCTCAGGACATGGTTTCTTTTCCCCACGGTTCATTAGCTTTGAACAGCTCCCCAGAGGCTCTGGATAAAGTTCACTCCATAGGTCAAATTCACATTACAAAAGCAAAAGAACACAGCATGCAATCGCTGAGCGTAGAGAACTCCAAAGCTTTCCATAGCAACCGGATCATCACCCACCGTCGGTAGTCAGGGAACTAAGGTAGTGTGTTCTTCATGCTGGAGAAGAGAATCTCCCCAAATGCTGTTTACAGAGAAAGAAAATAAAAAATTTCCATATTTAAAAAGTCTTCAGACAGGGTATTTTTTTTCCCCTGCTGTAAAATATTTAGATACTGAGGTATATTCTTTATATCATCGTAAAAGGAACCTGCTATCTTTCCAGTGTCCATATTGCCTGTGAGTCGATCGATAGCACGACCAGCAGGAATCTGCGTGGCTGGTGGTAAAGGCAGGTCTTTTGGCTGAAGGCCCCTTTATTCATTCCTAAATGCCGTGCCACACCAGCGCTCTGGCAGATCTGACATCTTCCACATTGCAGCCCAGGACAGGAGCCAAGGCAGAGGGAAAGCCATGCTCATTTCTGTCACTCACATATCCTGGACTTCCAGCCTGGACGAGCAGGAGCTCCCCTTACCATGGACCCTGTGTGGCAAGGGATCCTGAACACCACACAGTCCCGCAGTAACAAGGCACAGACACCCAAACAACACACAGTCCCGCGGTAACAAGGGGCAGACACCCGAACACCACACAGTCCCGCAGCAACAAAGCACAGACACCCGAACAACACACAGTCTCGCAGCAACAAGGCGCAGACACCCGAACAACACACAGTCCCGCAGTAACAAGGCGCAGACACCCGAACAACACACAGTCCCGCAGTAACAAGGCGCAGACACCCAAACAACACAAAGTCCCACAGTAACAAGGCACAGGCACCCGAACAACACACAGTCCCGCAGTAACAAGGGGCAGACACCCAAACAACACAAAGTCCCAAGGTAACAAGGCAAAGACACTCGAACAACACACAGTCCCGCGGTAACAAGGGGCAGACACCCGAACACCACACAGTCCCGCAGCAACAAAGCACAGACACCCGAACAACACACAGTCCCGTGGTAACAAGGGGCAGACAACCAAATAACACACAGTCCCACAGTAACAAGGCGCAGACACCCAAACAACACAAAGTCCCACAGTAACAAGGCACAGGCACCCGAACAACACACAGTCCCGCAGTAACAAGGGGCAGACACCCAAACAACACAAAGTCCCAAGGTAACAAGGCAAAGACACCCGAACAACACACAGTCCCGTGGTAACAAGGGGCAGACAACCGAACAACACACAGTCCCACAGTAACAAGGCGCAGACACCCGAACAACACACAGTCCCACAGTAACAAGGGGCAGACACCTGAACAACACACAGTCCCACAGTAACAAGGCACAGACACCCGAATAACACACAGTCCCGCAGTAACAAGGGGCAGACACCCAAACAACACAAAGTCCCAAGGTAAGAAGGCACAGACACCGTAACAACACAAAGTCCCAAGGTAAAAAGGTGCAGACACCTGAACAACACACAGTCCCGCAGCAACAAGGCGCAGACACCCGAACAACACACAGTCCCACAGTAACAAGGCGCAGACACCTGAACAACACACAGTCCTACAGTAACAAGGCACAGACACCCGAACACCACACAGTCCCACAGTAACAAGGCACAGGCACCCGAACAACACACAGTCTCGCAGTAACAAGGTACAGACACCCGAACACCACACAGTCCCGCAGTAACAAGGCGCAGACACCCGAACACCACACAGTCTCGCAGTAACAAGGCGCAGACACCCGAACAACACACAGTCCCACAGTAACAAGAAGCAGACACCCGAACAACACACAGTCCCGTGGTAACAAGAAGCAGACACCCGAACACCACACAGTCTCGCAGTAACAAGGCG